TGATTTTCAAATCACACTGCATATAAGCTTGAATAGAGGCATAATACGTGAACTGTCTCCTGTGCATAGTAATACACTTGTAATTTTTAACAAGTAAATTACCTCCAAGATATAAAAAAACAGGCAGCAAAATTTGACAAAAGACCTCATGATGTCAGTACTAGTTACATAACATAATGTGCAAAACCCAAACTACCCTTTTAAGTTTACAAGGTGTTCCTTATAGTTTTTCATTCAGTCTCTGACAATTGTAATTTCAGGCGCTTCATTGGCATCAATCCCGAAAAAGGCACAAAGACCACCCAGGGAAAGGTTACCTCGAAGAGGACAGGGGCGATTGTCCAGAAAAAATTCTCCACAGTGAATGCACATGTCTCCACACTATTGAAGAACCTAATCGACTTTCAGTGGGACTTCATATAGGTCAGTGAGCTCTCCTCTTGTTTCTGTCTGTGCTGTTTTGACAGACTGATGTTGCCACATTAAACCACAAAGTTAATTTAAAAAAGTAAAAGTGTGTCCTTTAAAAAATGTTGCAGGAGTGTAAAGGAATGAAAATCTAAAAAATGAAATGCTATCAAATCAAATAGACCAACCACAGTTGATTCCATTGTAGCTGAACATTTGTCCGGGTGTTAGTTATTCAGTTTCATTACCATCTATACAAAAGGTAACATCTTAGGAATAATTTTGTGCTGTAATATAAACATGGACCATTCAGTGAATCTGAACAGAAAAAAAAATAGTTGTTATGGAAGTAGCAGTGTTATGGATAAATGAGTTGATTTGAGACATGCAGGAAGCGTTTTGTTAGTCAACACTAGCAGCCATCTCCTTGTTATCTGGGTTGTACTCTACACTGACAATTCTAGAGTTAGTTTGATAAAATACTTTGTTTTCTGATGTTTTACAGAGGTACCAGTTGGAATACCTTCCAGTTGGAATAGGAGACAACATGCAGCCAGGTCATTATGGTTAAGTGGGTGTAAAATGACAAAGTCATTCACCTAGGACTCTTTTAAAAGGTACACATGCCTCCTTACTGAAACGTTTAAAAAAAGTGTGGAAACAACACTGAACAAATGTTTTTACACTAAAATGTTTTACACTAAAATGTTTTTCACTAAATTTGTTGCATGTTCTTAGTAGTGCAGATCCAAAAATGTTCAAAATGTTCAAAAAATGTTAAATGCTAACATGTTTAATGTGTTTAATCTCAGGTTGTCATGTTTTTTTAACGTATTTTGTTATGTTTGTGTCTGTTATTTATTTATTTTTTATTGCCATTGTTTTTATTTTTAAGTTTTTGTTTGTTAGCCAAAATCTGTTTTCTCCAGTTTTTTACCATTTTTTTTTGTTTTGAATCCTTGTTAAACGTTTACTGCTCTTTTAAATAAAACTTTATTTTGATTTATATCTTTTAAGTCCTTTGTACAATACAGACTGAATTTAAAGTAACCATAATGATGTTGTAAATTGAAATAATCACAGAAATGTACTGCATTAAATTTTTACAGAAAAAGGCTGTTAAATAATTCACAGTATGAATACTGTAGAATTACAGTAGATTGCTGGCGACTCTGCTGCCAGTATTTTACTGTAAATTTGAAAAAAACAGAATTATACTGTATTTAATTTTTACGGTAATAAACTAAAATAATTTCACAGTATGAATACTGTAGAATTACAGTAGATTGCTGGCGACTCTGCTGCCAGCACATTACCGTTTTTTTACAGAATTTTTTTTTACAGTGTAGTCAAAATACCAGCACAAAAACACACTCAGCAAAATATTGTTTATGGTTATCAACTAAATAAAAATCCCCCAAAAATACTGAGATATAATTTTGTGTAAATATCGCACACCCGCTACGTGTCACTTTGAAATCAAGCAGGAATATAATGAATTTGATTTATGAAAGCACAGCTAAACCTGCTTGATATTCTCAATGGTCAATTAATGCCAATATGGCCATTTGTTGCAGAAAAAGTTGAATGTTCTAAACTAACTCTCACTAATCCTTATACTTTTTCCTCTATGTCATAGTGACGCAGCATTTACATTTAAATCAATGGGTTCAATTTAATAATAATTCAAATAGGAAACAACTAATTTCACCTCGTAGATAATAGAATAGACCAAAAAGACTGAAGATAACAGAGTATCACAGAAACTGTAGTGAACTCTTTCAACTTGGGCCATCAAGCAATCACCTATCAACAGCACAATAAGTAACAAGTAGCACCTTAGCAACTACATAGTAACATGCTAAAAAAAACACTCATGTTTTCTACAGATATCATTTCTGCTCTTGATTTATTCCAAACTTCTATTTTTTCTTCCAAGGCACATTCTCACTCTCACTTTCTGTCCTTTATTTCCTTTTTTCTGAGAAGCATGTGGCTATGGATCACTGACATCACTGGGCTCAATTAGAGATGTTTGTAGAGTTTTACCATATGGCCGAGAGAACTGCGTGAGGCAGAGAAAGATAGAGAGAGAAAGAGAGAGGACTCTGTGTACTGGGAGGGGTTGTTTGGTTAGTCATTGACAGAATATGGAGCAAAGTTGCTCTCTCTCACCATTTATCACTCCATGAGGAGACTGATCTCTTAGAGCTTTAACAGTGGAGTTCAGAACAGACAATGGCCTAATTAAACCGCAGAACAAACACACAATCTTGTAAAACACATACAAAGATGACCATGCGTCGTCTCAGACTGACAAAGCAGATTCTAGATCTACTGATGTTTATTCTATATGATCTGGACATGTCATGCCTATTACTGTATTTAATTATGTCCTCAAGCACATTCCCAATCAATTCACATACATTTTATTAGAAGCAAATTAGAGCGAAGGTTTTGGGACCTATCTGGTTTGTTAAACTGGTTTGGCTGGTTACTGGATAAGGAGAGTTGCTGATAAACTGCACGTTGTATTTATTTACATAGAGCTGGTAATGGTTATAGATCTTTTTTTTTAATCGCAGATTAGAAATGCAAAAAATAAAATAACAACAAAAATGAAAATATTTTCCTTAAAGCTGCTTTGAAACTATCTATTGTGAAAAAAGGACTTTCTGTTTTTGCTTTTTGACTAAAAACCTAACAGTAAATTCCATAATATTCTGCGTGCATATACGCACTACCATTCAAGTTATTTTTTTTTATTAATACTTTTATTCAGCAAGGATGCATTAAATTGATCAGAAGTGAGGGTTTATAAGAAGTGAGACATTTATAATGTTACTAAAGTTTCTACTTCTATTGTATTTCCAACTAGGGATGTCAATTTTCGATCATTTCCATGATCGATCGTCGTTTAAATTAACGATCAATTAATCGTTTAATCGTTAACTTTAATGCAGCAAAATGCGTCTATTGCAGCAGCACGCAGTCACCGGCATTCCCTATTTCCAACTAAATGCCGTTCTTTTGAACTTTAACAGTTTCCGCAAAAATATGAAGCATCACAACTGTGTTTAACATTGATAATAATAAGAAATGTTTCCTGAGCAGCAAATCAGCATATTGTAGTGAAATCTGAAGGATCATGTGACACTGAAGACTGGAGTAATGATGCTGAAAATTCAGCTTTGCATCACAGAAATAAATTACATTTTAAAATATTTTAAAACAGTTATTTTAAATTATAATAATATTCCACAATGTCACTCTTTCTGTGTTTTTAATCAAATAAATGCAGACTTGTTGAGTATAAAAGACTACTTTGAAACACATGAAAAAAATCTTACCATCCCCAAACTTTGAACATAAATATATACATACTGCTTTATATGCCTTTGACCAAAACAGTGTTTTTTTTTTTAACTTAAAATCTGCAAGCTGCAACAGTGTACCAGACATTTCCATTTTTCTCTCCAAGTAACAGTGTTATCTAAACCAGAGAAATGAAACAGAGGTCCAGTACCTGCCGATGTGTTGCGGTGGTGCTGATTCTGGTGGAGGTTTGTCAAGCGCTCTGTGCTGGAGAGAAGTTCTGTGTAGGGACTGGGTGATGGGTATGCAGTAGACCCTCTGAACGACCACCTCAACAGGACCGCTCTGAGAGCCCGACGACCCACAATCCTCCACTGCATCCAACAGAGACTTCCGAACTCCGCTTCTGTTCAACTCACCGACCTGAAAAATGGAAACATTTTTTTTTTTCCCTAAACACACCAGTAGAAATAGTTTTTATGACTTCAATGTAATATCGGCACAGAATGGCACAAAATATTTCTTAAAGGGATAGTTCACCCAAAAGTGAAAATTCTGTCATTAATTACTCACCCTCATGTCGTTCCAAACCTGTAAGACCTTTGTTCATCTTCAGAACACAAATTAAGTGTATTTTTGTATAAATAAACAAAGTATAAATATTTTTGATGAAATCCGAGAGCTTTCTGACACTGCAAAGACAGCAACACAACTACCACATTCAAGGCCCAGAAATATAGTAAGGACATCAATAAAATAATTAATGTGGCATCAGTTGTAAATGTGCGTTGAAGTCTGACACTGAAAAGAAGTCATTTTTTTTCTTTGCGCACAAAAATATTCTCGTAGCTTCATAAAATTAAGGTTGAACCACTGATGCCACATGGACTATTTTAACGATGTCTTTACTACCTTTCTGGGCCTTGAACGTGGTAGTTGCGCTGCTGTCTATGCAGGTTCAGAAAGCTCTCAGATTTCATCAAAAATATCTTAATTTGTGTTCCGAAGATGAAGGTCTTACCGGTTTGGAACAACATGAGGGTGAGTAATTAATGACAGAATTTTCATTTTTGGGTGAACTATCCCTTTTAGGCAACAACAGTCAGTGCCACCCATGTCACCTCAAATCAGCAAATCGTGATAATGAACGATATATGGTCTCTCTCTCTCACTGCAAATCCCTGTAAGCACACATCTACACTACTGTTCAAAATTAATACTTTTATTCAGCAAGGATGCATTAAATTGATCAAAAGTGACAGTAAAGACATTTATGATGTTATAAAAGATTTCAAATAAATGCTGTTCATTTGAACTTTCTATTCATCAAAGCACACAAATCAAGCTTTCCACAAAAATATTAAGCAGCACAACTGTTTTCAACACTGATAATAATAAGAGTATATTAATAATAATCAGCATATTAGAATGTTTTCTGAAGGATCATGTGACACTGAAGACTGGAGTAATGATGCTGAAAATTCAGCTTTGCATCACAAGAATAAATTACATTTTAAAATATATTCAAATAGAAAGCTGCTGTTTTAAATTGCAATAATATTTCTCAATATTACTGTTTTTACTGTATTTATCATAGAAATGCAGAATTGGTGACAATGTATCTGTTAATGACAATATGATAATGCACATTTAAAGGGATACTCCACCAAAACATGAAAATGTTTATAAAATAAGTTGAAAAATGTTGCGAAACAAACAACATTGGAGCCCAATGATTTCTATTCTAAAAATATCTTCTTTTGTGTTCCAGTTTTGGAATGACATAAGGGCAAGTAAATGATGACAAAATACTCATTTTTAGGTGGAGTATCCCTTTAAGTGTTGTGTTGGTATGCTCACATTTTTGATAAGAGATCTCAAAAAGATCTCAGAGTAGCAGATGATAGTTACTCTGTATTTTGAAAACTGTGGCTAACACTTTGTGTTTACAACCAACACAGACTCACTCTGTATGGACAAAACTGCACTGCTTATTTTGAGTAGTACAATAAGAGCGGGAAAGTGCAAAGCCTCATTCTTCAAATGTCTTTTAAAAAGAATTCGTTACGCCAGGGCCTTGTCGAACAGGAAAATTTGGCTTCGCTTTCACAATAAAGCAAATATTTATGCATTAAAAACATCCCTCATAAATCATCTGCACTCATGAGTGTCACACAGGAAACAGCAGCTGTCTCCATTCCAACAGCACTTTCACACATTTTTATGTGTGGCCGAATTCGAAATCTAACATAGACGCTCGCTCGCTCGCTCTTCTGGGAATTTCCATTTCCTTCCTGTGATCACATGAGAGAGGACAGCTGACGAACCTGTTTACAGGGAATGGATGTCTCGGTTGACACTTGGCTCGTCCCTGACCGCCACAGGCTCCAGGTTAACGGCGGAGGTCTGCATTTCTCCACAGCGACCGCAGCTCTCGGACCACCTGCGTTATCCGGCTTAGTCTCTTCGCAGGCTTTCTGACTGAAGTGGGTGTTGAGAATTATGGGATAGCGTTCACCCTCAACAACCAGATTCTGCCTAGAGAGACAAACAGAGGTCTGCTGGTCATAATGTGTTGTTTTTGGAAAAACAGTTACAGTATGAAAACATCAAATCTCTTGGAAATGCCACATGATGGTTTTTATGACAGCTTGGCAACATTCATAAAACTCAACTGCATTGAGTTTTGTCTACGTTGATAGATTGACAGCGGTCTCGCCGAGCACAACCACCTCCACATTTCTCACACACATAAAAGAGTCTCAAAATATCCTCAGGTACACACGAACGCTCAAGCCCGTCCCTCTCTGGGTGGAAAACAACTGTTAGTGACTGACTGATCAACAAAGATGCTCTTTTCCATTTCACAGGCGGTCTGAAAACTTGTTTATATCAAAACACTGAACTCAAGTCGACACTATTACTTTGTACTTGGCATCTAACAGATCGACTGTGAAACAAGCTGCGCTCTTGTGATAATGGTCTGCCTTGGTGTGTCTTAGTAACCGAGCATGAACAAACACACAAAACAAGCGTTAGATGTTGTTTGCCAAAAGAAAGACGTGAATTTGGTATGATTCTATACAGAGTGGCATTCAAACATGGCTCCTTCTGAAGCACTATTCATCTTTTTTTTCTTTTCAAATATAAATAAAAGTAAAGCAGCAGCAAAGTGGACCAGACTTTATGCCGATGGCTAAATGAGGCTAGTTTAAGCCTACCTGGCAAGGGGCTAGAGGGGCACGAGTGAACTGAATTGCAGTTTTTCTGATAAAAATTGTGATTGCGTGTAAAAAAAATCCAGCAAACTTGCTTGTTTGTAGGACTGCCAAAATGTTGTGATTATATATCAAAATGGCTATAAAATAATAATAAAAATAATAATCCAAAAATGACCAAATAAAGCAAAATAAGAAATTACTATATTACTATTGTAATATTCACTGTAAATTAAAAATAGACTATTTAAGAAAAATTATTTAATATATTTTTTTTACATTACAACCATAAAATGAAATAATACTAATAATAATGCATAGAAATACAAATAATTTATTATTATTAATAAAATATTTTATTACATTATAATATTTTAAATAATGTAGAACTTCTATGTTGACAGAAAACTGAAAGAAGACAGAAAGCCCTTCTTTTTGGTTGATAAGTGCTTCTTATTACAAACATCGGAAGATAGTTGGCACACTGCGTTCCCAAATGCACGTTAAAGACACTCAAACTCAGAGCAGATGCAGAGATTGAGTTAATGTGGAGCAGCATTTACTGTGAACCGAGCCGCTCTGAGACACTGAACACCGACGGATGAGAACAGTGCCACACTTTACTTTAAACAACCTAATGCATGCATTCATTTAATTAAATCGCACTAAGCCATTTTGCAATTTTGTTTTATTCTGATGAATCATGCAGCCCTAAAAAGAGCTATGATCAGTTTGTACAGGAAAGTGTTTACAACTAGTTATTGATATGAAGCACATGGGGACAAGAGCCTGCAAATGACATAATGTATTTCTGTGAAAACATCTGCACGTTGGTAAGCACATACATTAAAAGCGCTGTCATGGATGCATGAGAATGTACCATTCGCAGGGACTCAGAAGTAGGTTGCAAATAGCCTGATCAATATTTGCGCTGAGTGTAGGGTAATTTGTCACAGATCTGTTCCAAACAAGCATGTCTTCAATAAACGGAGGCCTCCACTCCACTACAAGCCGGGGCCTGCGGAGCTCATGTCATGAGACGTAGCACGTACGTCAGCATTCAAATCATCCTGCCCTGAGAGAGAATTGAACAGGTGCCAGCAGAGACGAGTAATCACACTGAACCTAGTGAACTTCAGCCAACAGTGTGCAGCTCCAGGGCAGCCAGCAAAGGCAAGTTTACACAGGAGAGGTGGAGGTCCTCTCCGCCCTTCTGCAAACAAGCGCTTTTTTCAACATGCTGTCAACCCAAGAAGAATAGGACAGAAAATTCCAGTCTTTGACAATCCAGTGACAGGTCAAAAAAAAAAAAATCTGATCTTCTTGTTGACCATTAAGTCTCGAAACGAGAAAGCATTTTTACTGTGCGCAATAACTAATAATATTATAATTACTATTATAATTAATCAATTATTTATATTATAATTTATCATTATAATTTAAAATGACTGTATAATTGATCTACATTTTAGAATAATAAAGTCATTAAATCTATGAAATACTAACACTAATGTAAGCATCACAGGTAATCAAAACTTTCATGTATTTTAACATCTAATATTTCAACCAACTTCATGAGGTGCATCATAGTTTTGATGGCTTTATTATTCTAAGATGTAGATAAATTATTAATAAATATTTTTATTGTAATTCATTAAATAAAATGATAAAATTTCTAAAATTAAAATGTACAATTATAATTTAATAATTATAAAATCATATAACTATAATTACACATTTAATAATTTAACATTTTAATATTATAAACCATTTTTTAATAAATTACAATAATATAATAAAAATGAGATACTAATCATACTACTACTAATAAGAAAATAATTAAGTTCATGCAAAAAATACTCTTTTTATCAGAAATGATATACAAATAAAAATACAAAGCAAAGTCTTAGTGATCAGGTGCACAGGAAATAAAGTCTTAGCAGAGATTTGTTAAGCTCAGTGCACACATAATCGCATCACGATCGTGATATACGTGTGAATGCATTTCCGGTGGATCCGAACAGGAAGTCTGTGAACAAGCACAAGAGAGTGTGCTGACGTCAGAGCTGACACAAACAGGTGAGGGTGCGGCACAGGTGTAATAACTACCTAGTGATGACAGGTATTTCCTTCATAGCTGAACCGTGAAGAAGCTGGGAACAGTGTGTGTGTGTGTGTGTGTTTATGTGCAAGGGAGTTGGTCATCAGAAACACTCCAATGCAGGCAGTATGATGAACATAACCCAAAGCAGTTTACATGACTGTTAATTTCTGACTCAGACTTTAATGTATGGCAAATCTAAGTCAGAGGTTCTCAAATAAAAAACTGAGACTATACATGCAAAACAAAATTTTTAAAGTAATATGTTTATCAACTTGGAGAAGAAAATAATTCCCATATCTTTTGTAGCCGTTGTTAACAGCAACGCATCCGATCAAACTACAGCATTTTGGTGCAAATACGTCTATCACTTGGTAGAAACAAACCAAATTTGATGGATACCAAAAAAGAATGCTTTCTGTTCAGCCTATGTGCAGTTCATGGTACCATTAATAAATGTATATTACAAATATTTCACTTTTGTACGCAAACAATTTGGCCACTTTGTTTTGTCTCCAAAGTAATTTTACAATGGGATGTCCAATGAAGTAAAAGAAGTTAAGATCAAATGTACAAAAAAGACATAAACATCTGCACTAAGATCAAATTGGTGGTTTGTGGAAATTTTGAAACTTTCAAGGTTCATCAGTTATTCAGTTCTTGAATTTGAATTAAATTTGAAAGTTTAAATCTGAAGTGAACTTCAATAAGTGTCATTTTTAACTAGAAAACAAAGGTTTGGCATTAGTTTTGAATGGTTTGAAAAACCATGTCTGCAAGTTTAAAGAAGTTTATAATAGGCTATTTGAAATATAATTTGAACTAGAATTTTTACTATATTTAAATATCTGAATCTTTAATTCCAATTTAACTTCCTGTGGGGAGTGGCCGAACCAATTAAAATTCCACCTGATGAACTGAAAGGAAGTCAATTCTTAACTTTGGAATTTTGCTCAACCCTGTGTCACACTGCATGACTATTTCAAAGAACTGCAAAAACCAAACAAGTGACTGCAAATCACCAAAACCTTTTCAAAACACCTCATGTATTTTGACACAAAAAAATCCCATGTCTGCATTTATCAACTACCCGCACGTTTTTAAATATATTTGACGATATGTAAAGTGTTATCATCTGCTGCCCATGTTCTGTGCTGCAAACTAAGGGGGCCGAACTGGAGTCAATCCCGTGGACTTTCCAGGGTAAAATGAACTCTTGGACTTTCCAGGGTCAACTATGCCTGCCCTTAAAGCAAACACTCCGCAGGGGGGGAGAAAGAAAGAGAGAAAATGAGACAAGAGGAGAAACTGTGCCAGCAACACACTGTGCTGCATGTGTTTTCTATTCTGCCCTCTGGCCTCTCTGGCTCGTCTGTCCCTCTCACCTCCAGCCCCGCAGGCCTCTCGCGCTTATCTGCTCTGTGCAAAACACACGGCTGCACACGGCAAGACTGTTCCTGCCAACCTGCGGCTTACTGCTCGAACAGTGAGTCATCACAAATTACTGCAGAAGATATAGGGAGATGTGCGTCAATGCTCGAGACGCACAAGTTATCTTTTTGTGATCGAGACTCCAGTTGAAGAAATTATGAAGAAATTGAAGACAAAAATTGCCAGCGAGTATTAAGAAATTACGTTTTGCACACCAAAAATGTGGAATCTTTAAATATTTCACAAACTATGTGAATTATTACAAAATAAATAAAAAATGTAAACAACCTGGTTGTTTGCATTGGGAAGAAAATGTAATATTACTAGAATATAAACATGAAACGATAATGTGAAAAAAAAATTATACAAAAAAAATGCATTTTTGTTGAGTATCATCTTTGATACAGCAGGCTTTTATGGCTGATATATTATGATATAGGGGGGGAAAAAACAGGCCAAACTGAGCAAAAATATGCAAATTGGTGCAGTTGCTGATCTTTATATGGCCAAAAAGTAGAATGAAATTCTGATAGCTTATAATTTTAAACAATGACATCTTTATAACTGTATAGCAGACTGATGACATAAAATGCATATAAATATTAGTTGTCAGAACATATAATGCAATGCAATACAATTATGATTGACAAAGGAACATTCCTTAAAAGCATGATGTATCATTTTTGATACATTTTCATTTATCTAAAAAAAAGTTATGGAAATGTATGGATAATCAAGTAAAACTAAGTTACTTCAGTCTAGTAAGGGTTCATCTTGAAATAATAACGGCAATATAAGTTATTCTTTACATTTACTTTACCTTCAGAAACAGATGGACATTAGAATTATACTAAAAGGTCTTTTGCATGATAAAAATATAAACTATGGAATGTAGTAGATTGTGTACAACAAGTTTAAGCTTTTAAATTTTGACCATTTAATTTTTAGAGGCCTTAGAAATTTGCATAGGAAACATGATAACCAGATGTTTCACCAACAAAACACCATGCAAATGTGGTTGCTAAGGTGTTCTGAGTGGCTGCTAGGGTATTGTGGGTGATTAAAAGTGCTTCCCCCCCCCCCATTTTATGATTTGCTAGATGAAAATTAAGGCCAATCACAAGTAAATGTAAATTGTACACCTTTCCTCAGCAATCCACACTAGGGATGTTCATTTCGGTTATTTTTCCTAACTGACAACCGACACTTAAATTATAAATTAAGAAAATGTAAGAAAAACAAGTAGCCTATGCAGAGTTTCAGTTCAGTTTTGTGCTGCACGAAAGAAAACAGACGGCAGAAAGTGGCATCCTATTTTCTTTAGGCTTATTTTACAAAAGCACAAAGATTTGTTTTTATTGTGAATGAACACTAGCTACGTTTACAGTGTTTATTATAATGTTTGTCAACATTTCGCGTCGGCATTAGGTCTATTTCTGAATTAAATCATAAAATGCGACTTATACGCGACTTGTTTTTTCCCCCCTAAAAAACAATTTTTTTATACGCGTAGCGTATTTTAACCATGCAGCAAACCGTTTTAAATATTTTCATAAATTACTGAAAAAATAAATAATTAAATTACTTTTTTAAACCGTTTAATTAATTGTATTAATCGGTCAAAATTCTTACCGTCGGTTAACCGGTTAAAATGAACATCCCTAATCTACACAGTTTGAGGCATTATATATGCCCATATTACAAGCAAAATTTAATAGTTAGGGTTAAACATTTGTTCAAATGCATAAGCAAGCACTACTAATTATATAAAATATCTGTAAAATATAAATGTTTTTAAATTACTCTGAAAATCAGTATTAGGTCAGTAGCCAATAAACTGTTAATTAACATCACAGATAATAAACAAACTCTCTTTCAGCTAGGGCTGAACGATTAATTGCATTTGCGGTAATATCGCGATATGGCTATTTTAAGGTAAAGTGGTAAGGAACAGGACTCTCACCATGGTGGGTAGATGTGGACGACGTCTCCGGGCGCAGGCTGTAACTGGGCGGCCGTGTCCTTGCTGAAAAGAGCCACACACTTTTCTCCTTCCGGCAGCCTGTCACACACAGCAGCCTGCATGCCACATTCCTCCCGAACTCCCAGAATCCTCAGCATCAAGACCCCCGGCCTCTCAGCTTGGGTCAAAAAAAAAGTAGGTATGAAACAATCTGTACATATAATTTATGTCCTATACTAGGTCTCTATCAGAAAATCTCTGTTTATACTAGGACCAAACGTTTTGAATAAAGCTTAATTTTAAATATTTTTGATTGAACAACTTTTAATGCAGTTAAGTACTATACAGCATGAACAATTAGCCTGGAATTAAGCTTTAAATTTGATGGAATGACCAGCTCTGAAAGACGGTTTCATTCTCAAAGTCATTACGTTTTGCAAAACAGCACAGATACGATACAGGCCCAGTAAATGAATAACAGCAGCAGGATATTTTGGGTTATGCAGTGAAAACTCAATGCTGGCGCGGTTTCAAGTTTTTCATTTCAGTCAGTTCTGAGGAAATTAAACAAAATCCAGCACTGACGGGATATATTCCCATGCTGACTGTTCAAGGAATAGTTGGCCCCCTCGATTGGACACATGAACACAATTGACTCAGCTGAAATCATGCCGAGCACAGCTAAGACTTCAGAAGAACGATGTGTAATGGAAAGTTTTGTGAAAAATTTAAAGCAGTGAGAGAAAACAGGCTACGCTTACTCCATGCAATCACATGCAAAACAAAAATACAAGGAACACTGGCTATTTTTAAATTTTTTTGGGGAGGAAATGGTACCAAAAAGCTATGCATGACTATAAAAAGGAAAGAAACAAGTTGTTAAATGCACACACTGACATCTGATTTATTAGCCATGAGAACACCTGACATGTTGCGTATAAAAAATAGATAAAAATAAATCCTGCAATGAGCAAGAAGTGAGTGGGAGACACATTCTTTAGGCAGTGGAATTTTCTAAGGAATTACACCAGTTGCAAAGCTGTCCATAAACTATGTACAGTCATCCTAAATCACTTTTCCACATGCAAACTTGAATGAAAACTAAAATTGCTTGAGAACTAAATTCAGAGTTAATCTTAGTCAGCTAACATTACATGCACAAGAATGCAATGAATCAGTAGATGTGGAAAGACAGACATTCAGAACTAGAATATTATTAAACCAATATAAATTTGAGATTTAAAAATATTTAGATTGATAACAACTGTAATCAACTATTTTTTAAATTATAATATTTATTTAAAAACTTTCCACCAGTGTTATTTTAGAATCACTGATAAACCATTACAGGTTTTGTTAATATTTGAAATGTTACTTTTATATTTTGTTTACAATTTCTCATTCATTTTGTCACTTTTATCTATTAATTTATTTATTCATTCATTTAATTTATATATTTTTTTATTCTATATAGTTTTTATTAAGTTTTAGTTTATTTAGTGTTAGTTATTTTAGTACTTAAAAAATTTGACATTATGGCTTGACAACTACAGTAGCTGAAATTTTTCATATTTTATTTCAGTTAATGCTCATTTTATTTCAAGTAATGAATATTTAGTTTTACCTAATAATAATAACAACAACAACCTCGCTTTGCACTGGCAGTGCATCACACAAGTTTAATCTCCTTCTCCTAATATCATTTTACATTTTATCTTGAATTTCCACCGTCAACTGAAACATTAACTTCTTTAAACCTACATACAAACATACCTACACACACTGAAGACCCCTAGTAGGGCACTGTTTGAAAAGAAATCCGTTATACCATGGAAAATGAAAACGTAAGGTGTGTGACTGTGTCTGCAGTGTGTTTGTGTCTGTGGTTTCCTGTCGCTTTGGCTGCGAGACAATTACATCCTATTGTCACCTGAATCACCTGAAACAAGCGTGCTTTCACAGCCTCCTACTCCTCAAACTGTACACGGCAAGATCTCATCGCTGGAATATTATACACATTTCATCAAGCATGACAAGCAATTATGGAAATATGAAAACTGTGGGTTGGTGGTTAAATAATTTCCTGGCACATTCTTTGGGCCAGATCTGACATTGGCAGTATTTAAATGAAAAGACTTCATTTTTAATTGTGAAAACATTAGTGGTCAGGAACAGAGAACTAACCACTAATGATCTGTACAGAGCTTGCATTCAAGACGTGATTGAGTCTTCACATAAACAGACAGGATTCAGATTGGCTGTGTCTTACCAGCTGATGTGGTTGAGTTGCACTGATGTCTCCAGAAGCTGATGGCTGATTTTTGCCTGCTGTGGAGTCGGTTCAGCCTTTCAGCAAGACCTCCCCTACAGAGAGAGATCACAAGGATTCAGTCCCACAGAATCAAAAGAATCAGACCAACAGAACGACTGAATTTGAATTAATCACACAGAATCATTCTAATTCAAACGAATTACTTAGAATCAAATACGAATTAAAATCACACAAAATCAATCCCAGAGAATTAAACCTATAGATTCAATCACACCGAATCAGTCATATGGAATCAGTCCCACATCATTCATATAGAATATAAAACACACAATCAGACATTCAGAATAACACATGATCACAATCTGAATCAAACCTACTGAATCAATTACACAGAATCAATCATTCAGAATCAAACATTCAGAATCAAACACACAATCAGTGTGACTGATTCATTTAAACCACCCTGAATCAGTCACACAGAATTAAACCTATAGATTCAGTTAGCCCACAGCATAATTTGTATATGCATTCAATCCCAAGGAATCAGTCACATAACATCAATGGTAAAGAATGAATGAGAATCATTTATATAAAATTAAATAATGAATCTGACTGAATCTGCTAGAATCAATCACACAGAATGAGACCGAGAGAATAAACTAGAATCAGTCTCACTGAATCAGCTCCATCAAGAAAATCAATTTGAATCAACTGCATAGAATCAAAGACAGAGAGTGAGTTCCATGGAATCAACCATGGAGAATCAGTTCAAATCAAATGGAATCAATCCCACAGAATCATTTATATAAAATCAAACAAAGGGAATCAATCATAAAGAATAAATCTAATAAAATCAATTAAATGGAATCAGTCGTAAAATCAATCATGAATGAATCCTAAAGAATGAACCCCATGAATTATAGATTAATGATTATAGAGAATCAATCCCATAGACTCAATAAGAATAAATCCCATAGAATCAATCAAAGAGAATCAATTAGATTCAATCCCATCAAATCAATCACATAAAATTAATAGTAAAGAATAAATGAGAATCCTTCCTATAGAATTAATCATAGAGAATGAATCTGATTGAATCAACTAGAATTAAGGCATAGAGAATCAATAAGAACCTATGTCAATGAATCAGTTCCATATAGAGTCAATCTGATTCAACTCTACAGAATCAAACCAGAGAATCAATTTCAAGGAATCAATCAAAGAGAATCAATATTCAATTTAATCTATATTCACTGCACATGGAAAACTGATCCATAATTAGCAAAACTTTTTGTCTTTCATAAACCATTATAGGCTTCAATTTGTTACAGGCTTGTTAGCTAAACTACATGCTTATTACCAGAGCAGCTCTGCGTGCACTTATTATTGGTTATTTGCTTTATGTTTATGATGTACATGTTTGTGTTTTTTACGAGTGGGTGGTAGTTTTTACGTGTGCTATAATTTTTATGTGTACAAAAGCATAATAAAAATATAAAAAGCCACACTCAGGCAAGGGGCAACTTCTCCTGCGCTTGCCTGCAGAAGAGACTGAGGGTCAGCAGAAGAAGTGGTGGACTAACAAGAGCCAAAAAGAGACAGCTCCCCCGTGAGGGAACAAACTCGACACATCCTGCCTCTCCCGTTCACAAAATCTGACAAACGACTCATTTATGGTAAAGCATCATGGGCTGGGTTCAGTCTTTGATGGTACACTAGAAAGCAATTGCTGAGTAATATCTGACAAAAGAGCCTTATGCATGCGGTGCTGGTTCTTGTGCGCATAGGAGGAAATACTCTGGTAAACTAAATAAGGTGACAAAAATGAGCAAAGGAAGCCGCTCCTTGATAGCCAATCAAAAACCAAGCTGACCAGGTTTTTACGGTAAGGGTGTGGATGTATTATTAAACTTCTTCACCTAGACTTTGAACCCTTTTGTATTCTGTGTGTTTACACTGATATGAAACTTCGGGTGAACTTGACGTCACACATTGAAAAAAAAAAAACCCAGTAAGAATAAATAACTGTATGAAGGATTACTGCCAGTTAAGACGATAAATCCCAATCATAAAGCCACTGAACTCATAAATTGAGTTCATCTTGCACAGGGTTGCACTGAAATTAAGATTAAGATCCAGGCGCCATAGATCATACCTTTCAAACCTCCTCCTCTTTTTACTTGAGTCCTCTGGGGTCTTGATGCTCTTAGGGCATTTCTGAGGTGTCTGAAGAATCGCCTGAGCAGATCGGACCCACTCGCTGACCGACTGCCTGCTGGACTCGGCTGCGTCCGCTCTGCTTTCTTCTGGATCTTCATCATTATCATCGTAAGAGGAGTAGTCTGAAATCTGGTTTGGTGACTAAAAAGGAGAGGAGAGTTTTACATGTAGTTATTTGATTTGCTTTTATCCACAGAAGTGTTGTTATTGTTAATTAAAACTATTATTAATTTCCGTTAATCGAAATAAAGTTGAAATAAGACTATAAATAATAAATATTACATAAAAAAATTTAAATGTTGCCTTGGCAACTAACTTTCATTTTAAGTTGAAGTATTAAAATTACTAAAACTGAAATAAAAATAAATTAAAAGCTTAACAATTACATAAAAAAGAAAAAAGTACATAAAAATTTAACAAACTAAAATTTAAATAAAAATAAAATATTAAAATAAAAGCTAGTTCAAAATATCAATAAACAGTATAATATAGTAAAAAAAATTGCAATATTATTTAACACTAATTCAAAGCCACTTACAAATGATGAACAACATATGCAATGAAAGGACATTTTAAGACTATTTTTTTATTTATTATTATTATTGTTGTTTTTTTGCAAATAAAAAACAATTATAAAATATAAATATTAAATTAAAAACTTTTTAATTTTTTAAACTTTTTAAATGTAAAAAAAATGTAAGTACTAAAATTACTAAAACTGAAATAAAAATAAATTAAAAGCTAAACAGAATTATTATAAAAATGACAAGTGCATATAAAGTTCAAAATATGAATAAAAACAATAAACTTTTGGCACTTACAAATGAGGAGCATCACATGCATGAAAGGACATTTTAACTTGTTCTATTTTATTTTGGGGTTTTTTGCAACTTTTCATTGACAGAAGAGCAGATACAGAAAAATAAATTATTTGAAGAGAGTGAGAGAAGTATGATAAATGTGGATACGATACATGTCAGAACCTGCACCATCAAGGCTCATGGTCAAATACTAACTGCAGCCTCTAGTTCAATGTCTGCCTCATAAAGAGCTTCCTTAATGTCTCAAAGTTTGATTATAAAATGAACATTAAAAGTGCACACACAGAGTCACAGTAATAAACCCACAGCACAGACCATCACAAATCTCAATATTGTATGACGCCAAAAACCTTGAAAAATATTGTGATTGAATGCTTCCAGCACAAAGACTTTCAAGAAAAACACCCTAAGCGTTCGACCTTCACTGTCCATCTGCCTAGAGGCCAATAAATTTAACAATTAATCTCACAGGTACTCAGTTCTCAAGCTAAACGACACACACAAAACTCTCAGTCCACAATTACACAAATTATGGGACCTGAATGACGCCTCCTGACAGGCTGCCGCCATGCTGTCAAAGTGAAATTACGGACTAAACAGGTGTTCCAAAAAAACGGCAGCCTGTTTTCACCTTATTCACATGTCATGCTGGGATATGAAAGTCGACAGAGTTTCAAGCTGAGCCTTAAAAATGAACAGAACCTTAAAAAAGTCTTTACATATGGCTGAGGGCCACCAAAGCAAAGCCAAAAACCTTTAGATCTATGAACCAGTACCTTGTACAACACGATCATCATTCAAACTCACGTTTCACATGGATGCTAGAAAAGAAAATAAGTGAGAAGGGCAAAGGTGGGAAGCTAAAAAACAAGAACTCAATGACCTCCCATTAATTCTATCCTCCTGCACATATCGTAATTCCAAAGGGGCCTTGAAAACACTATCTGGGCATCTGCCTATCCAGCACTGCATTAATTGCAACATCTGCCCTCTGGAAAAGGCTTGGAATCAGTCTTCTAAAGTACTGCCACTGAACTCTCAATCCACATGCAACTCCCACCCATGCTTCCCACGTACGATTTTGCTAACCTCACTTATGTAAATGAACTAAAGTGTCCTGCACTCACTAGTAAAAAAAAATATCAAAAATCTGAATAATTTTTGGTTTGACTGTATATATATATATATATATATATACTGTATATACAGTGGTGGCCAAAAGTCTTAGGCCACTAGTATTTTCACCAGCTAAAAAAATGGTTTTAAGTCAGGTACTCAATGACCTCCCATTAATTCTATCCTCCTGCACATATCGTAATTCCAAAGGGGCCTTGAAAACACTATCTGGGCATCTGCCTATCCAGCACTGCATTAATTGCAACATCTGCCCTCTGGAAAAGGCTTGGAATCAGTCTTCTAAAGTACTGCCACTGAACTCTCAATCCACATGCAACTCCCACCCATGCTTCCCACGTACGACACTTGCCTTTTAGTTACTAAATCTAAAATCACTGGCTTTGTGAGCTGCATATTGTTGAACTTGTTAGTGGTGTTTGCTAAGGCAACAATCACTGTTATTATTATTGCTCATACTTAGGGTTAAGGGTTTCTTCAAATAAATAATAAATAGGAGATAAAATAGGCGTAAAAATAAAATGTCATAGACCTACATTCAAAGAAGAGAATATTTAGAAATGTACTGAAACTGGTCTTTAAAAATCACTTCTTAGGGTTAACCCTAACCCTATATATCTATCACTGTAAAAAAAATCTTTACCTATTTCAACTTAAAAAAAAAAAAAAACTTATACAAGTTGTTTTAACTTAAATGACATTAAACCAAATTTTAAAAAAAAATTACTTACATTTTATCAAATTATTTTTTAATTTTATATAAATTTAATACATTTTATATAACTTAAAAAGTGTGTAACAGAACAAACTGAGACCGACTCAATCCAGAAGAACTGTGCCAATGTCTCCAAGATGCTTCAAGAAACCTACCTGCAAAGCTACGGTACTGTTAAAAGGTTTAGGCACTTGTGTAAAAATGCTGTAAACTGAGGATGCTGTCAAAAATAATGGCATAAATAGATTTTCTTTATCAATTAACTTCTATTAACTAAACTTAATCAACATTTGGTGTGACCTTCCTTTGCGTTTAAAGCAGCTTTTGCCCTAGGTGCACTTGCGCATAGCTTTTCAGGTTGCTTTGCAGGTAGGTCTCTTGAAGCATCTTGGATTTACATTTCCAAACATTCATTTTGCCATTAATTGTAACAATCCAGTGATATTTTTGTTTTCACAAGGAGTCTGACAGCAGCCAGTGCTCCACACACAGATCTGATCTGATCATCATCAGTCTGTCTGGAATGACATGAAGAAACAGAA